TAAGCAACATAGCAAGACTCCATCTCTACACAATAATTTTAAAAATTTTTTAAAAACCAAACTCCACACCGCCATGACCCTGTTCAGTTACTAACCCCCTCCTCGTCCTCTCCTTGGCCCCATGCCCCAAGGGCGCCCACCCTTGGTGGCCAGGCTCCATGGTGCCCACCTGAAGCTGCATGGAGCAGGCTGTCCAAGCCCAGGCAGAAGAATCCCAGCTCTGGCACTGAGGGGGAAGTGAGAGTGGGGGGTGGGGAGGGGGTGAGGAAACGAAAGTCCCCGAGTCCTGCCACCCGACAGGGCTGCCCACAGCTGGCACGAGCTGCCCCTTGTCTGGGATGAGGGCTCCAAGGGTGGTGCTGCTTTGCCAACCAGTCGGTACCATCTTTGGGGTCCTTGGACCTAGAGACCACTCTGAGCCCCCTGCCCAGGGAGCCCCACTTTGTCTCAGCCCCACTTCCCAGCTGCAGACCCCTTTGGGCCCAGCCTGGCCAGCCAAGCCTCTGAAATGAGGCTGGGGAAATTGAGGCCTGGGGCTGGGGTGGGGAAACCTGACCGACCCTGTTTTCAGGTAGCGGCTGAGCCTGGACGAGAGCCCTGGCCTGGCAGGTTCGTTCCCCCTTCCCTGAGCCTGCTCCAGAGGGCTGGTGGCCACCCCTGGAGTGGTTTTGTGATTCCCTGAGGGTCAAAAGCCAGAGAGATCTCCAGTCACGCAGAGCTGAGTCCAAGCTACCCCTTCCTCCCTGTCGATGTGACCTTGACACACCTGGCCTTTCTTTCGCCTTCTGTAAAATGGAGCTAGGGAGACCCTCGGCTCATGCCAGGAGTAAATGAGATCATGCGAGGGCCCAGGATGGTGTCAGTTGGGTGGGGGGCTGTGCTCGTGGCCACTCCTGGTCCCCTAGGCAGGCCCAGGTGCAGCCAGACAGCGGGCCAGGGGTGCATCTGCGCTGACCTCACTGGCTTCCGCGGGAGTCCCACGGGGCTGCCTGTTTCACTGCGGAGAGGGTCTCCCCTCCTTTCCTCTTCCTCCAGGCCTCTTTCCTGTGGCCCTGGGCGGGCCGGCCCTTCCGTGCAGGCAGGGGCTCATCCATCGCACTCGAGGTGCCCGGTCCGCCTGCTCGCGCCATGACTCACTTCCTGTTTCTGGGAGCTGGAAATAGCTTCCCCGGAGGCGGGCGGGATCGAGGGGCTCCATCCCACACAGCCGCTCCAGGACGTGCCCCCTCGGCCTCGCCCTCGCCCGCTGTGCCTTGGCCCCAAGCTTCACCCGTCCCGCGCCACACCAGCCCGGGAACCTAGGGGGGCACGGGTGCAGATGTGGGAGCAGCTGCTTGTGGGGGCTGGCCCGGGGTCGCAGCGGCAGACAGGACAGATGAGGACCTAGGGCAGGCGGGGGGCTGCCCCTCGCTGGAAAGACCCTTGCGCTGAGTGGGACAGAGGCGGGAGTGTGCGCAGGAGGTGGGCAGGGTGTCCTCGCGAGACAAAACAGCAAAGGCCAGGGTCGCTGTGGGCCCAGGAAAAGGGACTGAGCTTCAAGTTGGAGAAAAGTGACTTGGGGAGAGGAAGGGAGAAGGGCTGTAGGTGTGGAAGGGGCCAGGCTCGGACCAGTGCAGTAGTCTTGGGGCTGGGGAAATAGACTGAGAGGGCTGATTGGGAGGTGACTTTGGGTGAATGGGAGGCCTGGGTGCTTCCTGGGATCTGCCTTGGTGAGCTGGGGACCTGGAGGGGCGGGGAGGAAAAGGGGTGAGGCCCTGGGATCCTAGCTTCGGTTTCGGACCCCTGAATGTGAGCCTCTGACCCTGCCACCGACATCCTCCCCGCTAACGCCCAGGGAGACGCACTTCGAGGAGGAGGCAGCGGGGCACTGTCTACACATCAGAAGTGCTTAAGGGAGGCGTGACTGGGAGTCGGAGGTCAGGGTCCTCTGTCCCCCTCGGCCTCTATGAGCTGCCCCCACTGAGGCTGCAGGACATGGTGAAAGGACAACCTTTCTCGCCCTGGCCACCCCCGCTGCAGCTGGCCTCCCTCCTCAGGGGTCTCCCTGCCCAGCCACCTCCCCCTAAGCATCCCCCACACAGGCCCCAGAGGCATCCCTCCCTCCTCAGCTCCGTCAGTCCCCACCCAGGGAGAGCCACCGCCAAAGGCCTCAGTGGCTGCAGAGAACAGGAGCTACCGTGATTCCAGCAGTGTCTTTCCCCCTCTGACCTTGGGGCCCTGCCAAGCGCCAGGGCTGTGTGAGGGTATCAAGGCTTCCGTGAGTGCCCGAGGTACAGCCTCACCCCTCCTTTACAGATGGGGGGAAAGGCTTGGAGAGAGGAAGGTTCTGTGCAGGGTCCCCAGTGGGGAGGTAGGATTCGAACCTGGATCCCTCTGACGCCACCGCCTCCTCCAACGAGCGTACAGCCCCCCACCCCCGTCTCCCCCGATCCTGCCTGGAAATGGAGATGAGACCGGCGTGACTGTCCTGTAAATCGCATTCCAGCCAGATCCTGTCCTCGCCGAAACACCTGCGTTTTAGAGACACGAGGCCTCCCCAGGCCCCGGCAGGGGTGGCAGTCTTCCCCGAGCACTGGGTGAGTGGCGGGGGCCGCTGTGGGAGGCTGGGGAGAGAGGGTCAAGGACGCCTCCCCGCTGTCGGCCTGTCCCGGGGGCGAGATGGGAGCGGGCACTAGCTGGGGAGATAGCGGGAGGACCTTTGTTCACCTCTCCTCCCGTTCTTTCCTTCATGCCTCCATTCGCCCGTGTGGGTCTGCTTCGAGGCCGGCCTCCCGGCGACGTGGGGACACAGCCATGCCTCCAAACATACTTGGCTCTTGAGACGTCCCCGGGTGGCAGAGCAACGGGTTGCCACCTGCTGTGGGTGCTTGAACGGGAGAAGTGAGGAGCAGCATGGAAGCCCAGACGAGGAAGTCTAATGCAGCCTGGGAAGGCTGCCTGGAAGAAGAGAGGCCACAGCTGAGTCCCGGAGACTTGACCAGGGGGAGGAGGCAGGAGGGAAGGGCAGGGGCGTGGGGGGACTTCACTGCACACTGGCCAGGGGACTCGGGGGCCTCTGGGTCTCAGCTTCTAAGTCATGGTGGAAGTCACCGGGAAGGATGACAGCTCATCCTGAGACACCAGCTGTGGTCTGTGGGCTGTGGAGCTCTTGAGTAAGGAGGGATGGTGTCACCCAAAAGTACCTACGGAACGGGATCCAAGTTCCTCAACAGAGAGGACTCTGGCCAGGGAAATCCAGAGTAAAATGACTCACAGGCTGGGCTGTCCAAGCTTAAGGGCTGGTTCACCCAAGGCCAGAAGCTGGACGGCCGAAGGTCAGAGGCTGGACCACTCAAGGCCCGAGGCTGGACCACCCATGGTCAGAGGCGGGACCACGTAAGGCCCGAGGCTGGACCACCCAAGATCAGAGGCGGGACCACTCAAGGTCAGGCTTAACCCTCCAAAGCAGAGATCGGGCTATTGAAGATGGACCATAAAAATCGTGGCATTTCATGAGGGAACCCTCCTTCAGCCCCGGGGGCAGCAGGACCCAGTAGTGGCCTTGACAGAGAAGGTCTTGATGGCCTCCAGAGGCCTGAATCCCCAGCCAAACATCATGAACCCTGGGCCCCCGAGGCCACTGGCTCCCAGTCACACCCTTGTCCACACGGATGCCCACCCGCCGTGGCAGGCGCAGACCTTTGCTTGTGCCTCATGCCCCGACATGTGGTCCAGCCCCCTCTACGTGCGTGGGATCCCAGTGTGAGCCCCCCACAAGCATGCGTGCCTCTACCACACACACCCCCCCACATCTGTGCACAGCCCCCACGTCCACCTGCACACACACCACGGGGTGAGAACCCGAGACAGGGCCTCCTAGAGGTCCGTGCAGCCTGAGGACGCTCACTCCCACGGCAGGCCCTGGGGGCCCCAATGCCTCTTTCTTGGTGGCTGGGAGCTGGGCTGGTGGGCCGTGGCCCCCACCCTCCCTGGGCAGCTGTGCGGGGGGGGGGGA